GCACACTTGGCACTGGTGCTCCCTTGCCCTCCCCGAGCCCTAGCAGTCCCACCCCGGGCTGCCTGTCCTCTGTGTGTCAGTGTGTCCTGAGGCTGCCAGCTCCCACCTCCAGCTGCCACAGTCCTGTGATCTGGCTGTCACTGCTGCTGCCTGCCCGGCACCACAGAAAGAAAGGCCAAGACTGGGTGGATTAAAGCCTGTGCTAGGACTGGAGGGAGTCACAGGAGGTGGGAGCAGAGGGGGGCAGAAGACAGGGCAGCAAGTTTCCTCCAGGAAGAGCACTTGGTCCCAGACCCTTCGGAGCAGGAAAATGGCCTGCAGCCCAGGAACCACTGAGGGGCCTGATGGGGCTCTAGCTCTCTCTCTTTGTAGGTCCCCTCCTCTCTCTGCTCTTGTCTTATGACACTGCCCTGGCCCTGGAGCACTGCCTGGCTCCTCAGAAAAGCATGTTGGTTGGATCTGGCATCGCCTGCCTTCAGCTAGCTGTCCAGTGGTCTTCCTCTCAGGGCCCGAGCTCTGGGTCAGCCACCTCCTTGATAAGAACGGAGCAGGCTTTTTTCCTTAGAAACTCCTGTCAGGCAGTCAATGGCAGGAAGAGAGCAAAATATATGAATGAAAGACACCACCTGGGCCTCCTCTATGAGCCTACCATCCAGTGTAGTTGGCAAGACAAGACACCCACCTGACACCACTACTGCTAAATAGTCCAAGGTGATGCCTTCGGGGAAGAAAGAATGGCTGCAGAGAGGGTGTTCCAGAGGAAGCTGGGTTTGCCTGATCTGCGTAGCTGGTGCTTCCCCAGAAGCTGTGGGGAGACCCTTGGCCAACTGACCACCACTAGTGCCCTTTTGGGATCCAGCTGTTAGGGCAGTACTGGTAAAGGGGAGAGCTGGTTTCAGAGGGAGGAGATACTATATCTGGCCTAGACCCTGCCACTTCTTGCTTGAATTCACCCTTCTTCATTAGGCTATCTATCTCCTATCTATCCTGATTTGGGTCAATTTGTTGCCTTCACCTTTTGCTTAAGCCTAGCACAGCAAACTCCCAGGGCTTTCATTGCCTTCTCCACCCATGACCTCTCCTGGAGCCGAGGATGGACACCTCCGTACAGGTGGCAACCAGCCAAGGATCTAGGTACCCATGTCTTGTTCCTCTTGCTTTCTGTCCTGGGTCAGAAACAGGAACCCCAGAATCTCCTTTCCCGTGGCCAAGACTTGTTGCTTTCCCCACCCCGAGTCCCCAGTCAAAGTCCCAGGCCTGAAAACCATACTTTCTCCACAATACACTCTGTCCTGAGTTGGAATGCCCCCCACCCCTCCACCCAGTACACACATACTCCTCCACTGCCTCCTGACCTGGGATACACTTTGCTCTTCTGAGTCTGAGAGCTGCTGGGCAAGGGCCAAGTGTTCCTTGTTCTCTGTCTGAGTACCTTTCTTTCTCTCCTTCTCCTCCCCCTTTCCAGGCCTAGCTCAACGCCTGCAGTCACAGTGATAGTATGAGAACAGCCTGCTGTACCCCTCCCACTTAGGGCGGGCAATCACGTCTCCATCCCCAGTTCCTATGCGCTAAGCATCCATGTAACCTGAGTCAGGCCTCTTAGTGGCACAGGACTAACGCAAGTGGAAGGCCAGGCTGCCAGAGCGTAAGATGTCCAAGGGTGGCAAAGCTGGCATGAGAAGATCACTCAGGGCACTGGGATGGGGGTTGGGCAAACGAAGGAGGCTTCATCCTGGAGACACATGCAGGACCCTGAGTAGTGGAGGGGACATAGCCAGCAGGGTCCCCACAAGAACACCCAGGTGGGCTTTTAAAGCCATCACAAGATAGGCTAGATGACAAGAGGAAAAACAGGTGCATCATTCCTGGTGAGGCTGGTGTTCCTGAAAGCCACACATACCTCATTGTGTGTTGGCAGGCCTGGATTTCAGGCTGCTGGAAAATCGAACCCTGTTCATTGCTGACTGTGGTTCTCAGCGCAGAGATGCTGGGGCTTCATTGCTGGTGGCACTTTGGAGAGCGATGGCTCGAGTGCCTCTAGCCTGGAGATTCTTTGGAGGATTGCTCCAGCCTCCTGTTAAGTAGCAAATGAGTTGGAAGAGACCAAGTGCACTGAGAAAGGCCCCCATTTCTAAAGGGGACTTCTTTTGTATAACCAGGACCTCTGCAATGATGAGAATTAACAGCCTTTAAAAATCCCTTTGGACAGGATAAAGCCTGGGTTTCAGGTGTCCGCTTATCTTAGGGTGAGCCAGACTCAGTCAAAAGTAGGAAACAGGTGGGTGATGGGATCAGGGTGCGGGAGGAGCTGCAGACTTCTGGTTACAAGGACAGTGAGCTGCCCCACCAGATGGGATGCAAAATGCCAGGGGCTTCTGAGTGGCTGATCTCCAGGGCCTGGCTGAGTGCTCAGTCAGCTCAGGGAGTTCCTGCAGGCTTAGAGTCTAGACTTCTCCCTGGCCAGAGTCTGAAGCACCATCCTTGTTTCCCATCCTGTTTTTCTGCCACTCCCTCCCTTTAGGACCCATCACCCCTACCCTCCCACCAACACTCACAGTCCTGAGTGCTGAGCATTTGGAGATGACGCACTCCCCCACCCAGGCACCGTGCCTCTCTTCTCCATGCCTACTGTACCCCTGGGCCATCATTGCCCCATGCCCACTCCACCCCCAGTAGTTGGCAGGGATGCAAGAACCAAGGTCTCGCTTACATTGTCAAAGCTCCTAGGGTCCTTCCCTGTGCCTGGCCACACTCTCAGTACAGTCCTTCCTGCCCTGAGTATTTCTCTGGCACTGCATCCTCATCAACATTATTCTCATCAGCCTCAGTGTGCAAGGAGAGCCTGGAGGGGACCCCAAAGCACAGGGAAGAAGCTGAAGCAGCTCCAGTAGGGGACTTAGTGAAGGTCCTTCTCTCCTCCCTGCCCCCCTGGCCCAGACCCTTTGCCAGTGTAGCTAAGAGGGTAGATAGCTCTATGACAGTTGGAAGCGACCTCCTGGCCCCTGTCTATGCCTACTGCCCTAAAGTGGAAGTCTAATTTGTATTTTAATTCTCATTAGGTGATGGGTTTAGGGGAGGAGTTGACATATTAACCCACCCCAACCAGAAGCATAGAAGTGTGGCTGGTAAACAGCAGGGTTGTAATGGGCCTGTGACTTTTCTCCCGGGGGGGCGGGGGGCGGTTGTGGAGGACTAGATTGTATTGTGTGTAGAGTGTGTGTGTGTGTGTGTGTGTGTGTAGAGAGAGAGAGAGAGAGAGAGAGAGCAAGAGAGAGAGAGAGAGCAGCGGGCCCCAAGAGTCTGGGCAGGGAGGGCCCTAAGGACAAACTCACCTACTTTCAACCCAAGAGGAGGATCAACAATTGGAAATTGTGTGCAAGTGGAGGAGGAATCACAAGAGCCAAGGAACCAAGGAAGGATCAAGGAACCAAGGAAGGATGCTGGAGGCAGGGAGGAGGGAAAGGAGGAATGGCCAGGGGCAGTCAACGAGGTGGGGGGTTAATATGGAAACTGTAAACTAGTGGTAGGGATTCTTAGATGGGTGGAACTGGGCTCCAGGGAGAGAGATGTAGCTGATGGTAAACCCAATGATGTTGGGGAAAAGAGGCTGGGATTTCTGATCACTGCTTCGGAAGCCATATTTCTACAGGCTAGCCCCCTACTAGGCATTGCATGAGCACCCTGCCAGACTGCCTCTTGCCCAGCACCATCTCATCTCCCTGCTCTGCTGTTTTCAGTCTTCCTTGGTTAGACTGCAGCCTCTATGATAGTGGGCCCATGTGCCTTCTGCCGCATGGAAACCAGCAACACCCTGGTTTCCAAGTCCACTGCCAGGGCTTGGTCTGGCATCAGAAGGCTTCTAGTCTAAGCCAAATGTGGACAGATGCAGAGCAGGGTCCAAGAGAGCAGAAGAGAAGCCGACTGGGATTGAAATGGCAGGAATTCGCATCAGGTAGAGGATTGGCATGTGATATGAAAGGAGATAGAGCATCTGGCGGGGAGGTGTCGACTGCAGCAGCTCAGCCCCCTCCTCATGAACAGACTTGCTGCTTCAGGTGGCCATTCACTCATTTGTTCATTCATTCATTCATTTATTCATGTAGTATTTATTGGTCTCTAAATCTGGTCATAGGCTGAGTAGAACCAGCATAAGGCACACATAAGAGTCAGAGGACTTCCCCTCCCCCAGCCATTCCCACAGGGTGGCCACAGGAGATGTGAGCCCAGGAGATGCCTAAACACTGGTGAGATGCCAGGGGTGAGGTATGAGATCTCCAGTACTCAAAAGTGGGCCATCTCAGCCCTAGGCGGTTTGGCTCACAGTCTTAGCCAGTTTGGCTCAGTGGATAGAGTATTGGACAGGTGACTGAAAGGTCCTAGATTTGATTCCAGTCAAGGGCATATACCTAGGTTTCAGGCTTGATCCCCAGCCCTGGTTAGGATGTGTCTCTCTCACATCAATGTTTCTCTCTTTGTCTCTCTCTCCCTTCCACTCTCTCTAAAAGCCAATGGAAAAATATCCTCAGGTGAGAATTAAAAAAAAAAGTGGGGCATCGCATAGCAAAGGACCTAGGAGTACAATGACATGATGTTCCAGATTTGGCTTTAAAGTACTTCAGCAAAGAAAAGGGATAACAAAGGCATACGTGACTCCCTCTTGCATCTGGGTGATGGGTACGTGGTGGCAGCGGCATTCATTTCACTGATGTGTCGTGTGCTTGAAATGTCTCTGTATCAGTTGCCAGGGGGTTTTATTGCCTGCTGTGCCCCAGCCAAGTACAGGCACAGTGTCCCAAACTGCACCCCCAATTATGCTCTCAACAAAGAACAAGTTTGTGCCTGCCAAAAACATGACAGGACTGTCAAAAGGACATAAACTCAGTTCCATAACTGTCAAGATGTGAGGTAGGTTCCATTTCCCCCAGGACAGTGTAAAAATTGCAAATTGTTCATCAAGGTAGAAGACAAAAACAAAGAAAAGCTTTGATGAATGCCGCCTCATGGAAAGATTGTCCCCTGCCACAGGCCTGTGGTCTGCGGTCCCCTGCTTATTTGAACCAGCCTTCCTGCTAACAGGCTTTCTCCTTCTTGCAGGGCCCCTGCCACAGCCTTCTGCCGGGAAGGGGCTGGAGGAAGGCAATATTCACCACCTGGTGCAGCCCAGAGGGTCCAGGAATGGACCAGGGCCCTGGCAGGGAGGTCGGAGAAAATTCCGCCGCCAGCGGCCACGCCTCTCTCATAAGGGCCCCATGCCTTTCTGAAGCAGGTACTTGAGCCTCTGGTCAGTGGGTGGTGTGGGAGGGCTGGGGGAGGATCAGACTGGAAGCTGGGTGACCCTGTGCTCATCACTGGTCAGACACCTGCCCCGAGAAATCCTGGCATCACACACAATGGGACTTACAGGGCACACATCTCACCCCCTCATTTTGCAGGAGAGGAGACCGAGGCCCAGAGAGGGGCTTGTCACTTGGGAGCCAATCGCCTGGCTTCCCAGGAGTTGGGTGTTGGCTCCCCTCCACCCTGGGGTTGGGTAGGCTGACCTAGTTGGAGAGTTCTAGAAGTCCTAAGGGATCTTGATGAGCTGTGGATCCTCACCAGAGAGCGGGAGGAGGGAGGGGGCAGAGAGCCTTGGGGACAGCAGGCAGAGAATTAGAAGAGTTGCCCAGGGAAGGAGAGAAAATCAAAGGTGACAGCAGAGAGAGTAGTGCCTAAGTCTGTTTCTGAGGCCTGGCCTGTTGTCTCTTTCCAAAGGTGGCACCCTCAGAGGCTTTGGGCTTTGAGTTTAGGATTGTGAGGAGGGGGCAGAACGAAGGCTGTCTCTTCTCCTTTCCCCAGATGATCCCTTTGACAGAAACATGTCAATGATTCCTCTCTGGTCATTTTTTGTCTCTTTAGGACTGAAGGGGCCCTCAAGTACTTCCCCCCCTGCACTTCTCTCTACTCCATACATTGGTCTGCTTCTTTGGAGCTCTTATATCCATTCGCCTCTCATCTTGCACACGTCCTAGCTGCTGATGGTCCCAGCTCTTCTCACCCACCAGCCTCCCTGAATGACGTGGCCTTTCTCTGGACTGACTTTGGAGACCCAGCGCTGGAAGGCCGTCCTTTTTCTGGATCTCGTCCTGCTTTATTATCCACCTCTTCCACCTAATACCCCAACCTCCAAGCAGCCCTCCCTTCCTCAGGTGTGCCCTGGGGGCTGCATGGAAACACTCCCTTCTTCAATGGGCTCCAGCAGATCCCAGGTTTTCACGCCAGTTGGACCTTTAGCAGGCCTCCAGAGGGAAGTAAAGAGATGAGCAATGAGAGACTCTAGTTAGAGGCCAGGAGCTTTGGCATGCAGACAGGGTGCCTTGAGGGCATTGGAGTATGTGTGTGTAGGGGGGCGAGGGGGTTGGTGCTCTGGGGAAGGGGAGGGGTGTAGCATTGGAGAAGAGGAGGAATAGCTTTATGGCTGCTTTATCAAGAGGCAAAGGAGAGGAACATACAGCACTGTCACTTCTCTCATCTTACTGTGTCTTCTAACACTCCCCCAACTCACTGCTCCCTAACTTCCTCTACCCCGCCCTCACCAGCAAGTTCAAGCTCTAGCTCAGGAGGGGAGGGTGATGGGCCTGAGGTGGCTCCATACTCTCCCAGGAGCAAAAGCCAGGCAGACATGTTTTTGCCAAGAATCACAGAATATCAGAGTCAAAAGGAATCTTGCAGATCACTAAGCTCTGCCTCCTTATGCAAACTCCTATAAAGACAGAGGCCTAGAGAGGGACAGTGACCCACTGAGGGTCACTGCAGAGCCAGAATGAGGACCTAGGTCTCCCAAGTCCCACTTGATGATGTCCTCTTCCCTGTTGATGTCTTTTCAAAATGTGTTAAGTGCCTTTTCTTGGGGTTGGGGCTGGGGCCGGCTGGGAGGGGAGAGGATAGTGGTCTGTGAACTGCCCCACGGTGGCAGTGGTATGGTGGCGGTGGTGTGGGGACAGAGCTGCTCCAGCCTTCCTGGCCTGCCTCTGCTGCTTCATTCCCCAACCTGGGCTGAAAAATTCCTTAACTGGCCAGCTGACCCCATTCCGTCAACACTCCCAGACCCCCGATGTTTTCATAGGGGCAACTCAGGCACTGAGATTAACAGTCCAACCCCAGCACTGGTTTTCAGGAGCTTGGAGTTGGCCTTGAGTAATTGGACTCAATAGCCTTCCCTTCATGTTGACTGGACTTTCTTTCCCAGTGGCCTTCCCTTTGTGGGAGGGGGAGGGAGAGAAGAAAGAAGGGAAGGAGGAGGTGAAGGAGAGAAGGAAGGATGGGAGGAAGTATAGGTCTGAGCAGGCTTCCTTCTCAGAGGCCTCCCAGGAGTGAAGAAAAGGGGAGACAAGAGCCTGACAGCCACATATGTATGTTTGGGGAGAGGGGGAGTCAGGACCCCTGAGTCCCACAATAACCCTTATGTTGCCTACCCGCCTCTCACCCTTACCTCTGCTGCTGCTAATGCTACTGCTGCTGCTGCTGCTTTAAGGCCTACCCTGGGAGCCCACCTGGGCACTTGCCTCCCCCCACACCCCTCATACTCAGAGTAGGGGCTGGCCAGTGTCCAGAAAGCCTCTTCTGCCACTGATGCCCCCACCAGGGGCTGGGCCTTCTTTGCCCTCTTCCTCTCTGTATCTCCTGACTCATCAGCTGCCCAGCCCCATGGGGAAGGGAGGAAGGCGGGACATGGCAGTGGAGGGCAGTGAGGGGCTGGGGGCCTGCCTTATTTAAAGTGGTTGTGTATGATTCTTATACTAATTTATACAAAGATATTAAGGCCCTTTTCATTAAGAAATTGTCCCCTTCCCATACTTGTGTTCACTGTGTTTGTAAAGATTGTTCTATGTAAATATGTCTTTATAATAAAGAGTTAAAGATGATAATTTGCCCTTACTCGTGGAGGTCATGTTCAGGAGAGCCCTTACTGTCCCCTGAGGTCCATGGTTGTCCCCAGGCCCACATGTTGCACATGCAAGGCAGTACACTTGCATCCCAAATCGGTTCCAGGTCAAGTGGCCACAAACCAATTTGCCACAAACTCACAAAAGGAATCTCTAGGCTTAACGGCTGGTTCACATAAAATTCAGTCCACTTTGAAGTGTTTGGCATCAGTTTGGGTGTCCTAATTTTTTTTTTACAGTGTCATCAAAAAGGATTTTTAGAAAGCAATTGTATTTAAGAACATTCTGGTTAAAGGTGGGATTTCTACTAAAAGTTGTTTTGTATCCTTGGTGGGTGTCTTCTACTTTTTGAACACTTTTGGGACCTTTTAGCCAGTTTGCCTCTCTTGAAAAATGTTATGTTTCCTGCAATAAATACATTTGGTAATGACTTTGTATGTGTCATTTTATGTTTCACAAAGTAGAGGTGCTTGATGAATGAGATAGCATGAAAAAGAAGATGCAAGCAGTCCGATACAATTCTGCCCCATCTGTCTCACTTCTTCATGCTTGTTACCAAAATGCCAATACCTCGAAGAACACAAGGGAACATTGGGTACATGCTAATTCAGTTAATCAACTCCTTAGGTGCAAACAGGCACGTAGGATGCAGAGTCAAACCCAGCAAGGAAGAGCTGGGAGTGATAAAAAAAAATGCACTCAATACATTTTGTGGGAAATGCTGTAGATTTGACAAGTATTTAGTAGTAGAAATATACAATTTTAAGAGAAGGTTTTCAGCAAACTTGCTAAAAAGTCATAACACTGCTCAATAGGAGATAAAATAGAAAAAGCCATCCACCAGCATACAAAACGATCTCATCATCGACAAAATGCTGCAGATTGTGACAGAGAGATTTAAAAATATGACATTATGGTAGAAGTGCCTCTTAAGAAAATTGGTACAAAGTGACTTCTTTGAAAATTACTACTTTGACGTTTAAGCAAACTGGTTGTCAGAGTCATTGGTTTTAGGCAAGGAGGTTTTGGGTGGGCTGGCTTTATGCTGATTCATCTGTTATCTCCCAATGACCCCCAAAGCTCTAGTTTCACATGAAACCACGAGGAAGGGGGAGGTGACAGGGCAGGACAACTTACTACTGACCCATATGTGTGTAGCCTTTTAACAGTTTAGTGCTTAAAAAAACAAACATCAACTCGGGTGTGACCATGGAAACAGAGATTGAAGTGATGCACTCTAAAGATGGTGAAGGGTTTGCAAATCAAGGCCACTAGAAGCTAAAAAGGGCAAGGAAATTATTTTTCCCTCAGAGCCTCCAGAGGGAAACTGCCCTGTTGACACCCTGTCTTTAACCCAGTGGAACTAAAAACAACAACACACACAAAAAAATCAATTCATTTTATCATCCTAACAATTGGGCAACAAAGACCACGATACCCATTTTACAAATGAGAAAACAGGTTCAGAAAGGTGAAGTGACTTGCCCAAAGGCTCCCAGCCAGTAAGTGGATCTAAAATCTGGACCTCGAATTCTAGAATGCACTTTTCCTATGGTACTATAGGAGGTCCCCTAATTAGAGAGCAGAGTTAAGTACAAAGCATGTTTGGTATTCTCAGTAGGTGCAAGAGAAATGGATGGCTGGTGGGATCAGAGAAAGGTTAATGGAGGCTGACCAACTAACACTGGCTCCCGAAGGCCCAATTGAATCTGGTTAAGTTGGCAGGAGGATGCTGGGAAGTGGAGATGGGGACATGATGGGGAGAAGCCACCAGTGTCCTCGGGCACATGTAATCAACTGGATGCTAGTGGGTGACTGGAAGTCTGAGCTCCATGGGGCAGAGGGTGAGGGGAAAGAGAACTGGTGTCCTACCAAAAGAAGGCAGAACATACGGGTCGCCACCCTTTGGCAATATCTTGACTTGTCCAAATAAATACAATAGAATGAATAGGGGTTTGTTTTAGAAAATGCAGAGGAGCCCGGCTGCTGTGGCTCAGTGGTTGAGCATGGATCTATGTACCAGGAGGGTCACCATTCGATTCCAGGTCAGGGCACATGCCCGGGTTGCGGGCTCGATCCCCAGTGTGAGGCGTGCAGGAGGCAGCGATCAATGATTCTCTCTCATCACTGATATTTCTATCTCTCTCTTCCTCTCCCTTCCTCTCTGAAATCAATAAAAATATATTTTTTAAAAAGTAAATGCAGAGAAAATAAAAGGAGCTCACAACTGTTTCTGGACCATAAGTCCTGGACCTAGAGGTTGAAGGGGCAGAGAACCTAAAAGCAATGATGCTTCAAATGCATTAGGAAATTAGGCAGCCTCGGAAATGACAGAGATTAGGGAGGCAAACAGACTGAGACCACACACAGCTTTTCAGGCCCCGGGGTGTGGTAGAAAATGAGTCCTAGCCACTCTGAAGCCTAGCACTTCAGATTCTCCCACAGGCCCTGGCTGCTTTGGTATCCCCTGGGCTCCTCTGTCACAGAGGGAACTATGGGACCTGGCCTGAGTGGCTTTTCTGAGGTGCTTATATAATTCTATTTTTCAGGCCTAAAGGTTATTTAACCGAAATTTCTTAATCCAGGGTTTCTTTCTGATAGAGTGAGCCTCTGCCAGCTAAATGGCAACAAGAATGGCAATGTGAATGGCAACGTGCATGGCAGCAAAGGACTTACTGCTTTCTGCTCCCGGCCCTAGAAGGGGCTGCTGACTCAGCCAGCATTTCTCTGGAACCCCCCAAATGGAAGGCCTCTCCAGGGTTCCTTTGAAAAAGTTCATTTTCTTTTCCTACTGGCCAGTGCTCAGAGAGGGAGCCTGGCAAGGGACTTCCCTTGCTGCTACCTTGAACTTCAGCCAAAGGCTGGAGCTGCATCCAGAACATTTCCTTGAATGTTGAAAATCAGGGGTCAGCAAACTTTTCCTGTAAGAGGCCAGATAGTACTGATTTGGTTTTTTTTGTTTGTTTGTTTTGTTTTTTTACTTTGTGGATCATTTGGTCTCTGTGCCAACTACTCCAGTCAGCCGTTGTCCTGCAAAAGCAGCCATCGACAGAGAGTAAGTGAATGGGTGTGGCTGTGTTCCAACAAAACTTTATTTAGAAAAACAGGTGTTGGAACACAGTTTGCTGAAACCTGTCTCGGATGAAGCCCTTCAACTCAGCCCTTCAACTCTTGTCTAGGGCCCAAACCGAGACTTCCATTCTGCAGTGAGGTCTAAAATTAAGGAAATTTAATAAACTGGTTATGAGTTGGCCTCCAGGCCATGCTAACCGATAATAATTATACTAACAAAGGAAATGACTTTCGGTGAAAGGGGGAAGTCTGGAGTTGCTGTGGGTAGAAATTAGGCTCTTCCATGGCATCGTGAGGGAAAAAGTCCAACAGAGTAAGATCAGAGTTCCAATCCTAGTGATATCAGGTGAAGTGAGGGGCTCCTCTTCCCCACTGGGTGCTGCGGGGGGTGGAGTTCTTACATATTGAGAAAAGAAATGTTCTGAGATTCACATGGGAGAATGAATGTTTTTTATTTGCGTGGAATTAAATCCTCGTGTTTCCTTAGCCCAGTCATAGAAGTGTGGATGGGGTTTCAGTAAAGCTAGAAGTAAAGCCAGTGACCAGAGTTTCCTTTCCATGTTGGAGACAGGTCTAGTGCAGCATCAGCCTAGTTGTAGTCCATTGTGTGTGTGGACCACATGGGACAGTGCCAGGAAGCCAAGTGTGAGCCATGAGCCAAGTGTGCTAAGAGGAACTAAGAGTGCCGAAGAGCGCAAGAGAGCAAACTTCTTTGTTCAGGGAATTAAGTATCCCAAATCTCTGAGGGCTTACAGTGGCCTTGCCCATTCTGGCCAACCATCTCTGTCCCCAGGTGTGCTTGACAGTCAAATACCTTCCCTAGTCATCCCAGTTTTACTGGGCATGTATCTGTCTTCCCTTTGTCCAGTCCCTTCCCCCAATATTTTGCAGGGAACATGCCTATAATGTATAGCCTTCCCTTTGCTCCTTTCCTGTTGTTAATATAACTACTTAATTACAATGGTATCATTAGCACCACTAATTACTTATCTGTGAGACTTGAAAGCCAGCGTCTTGGTCTCAGGGAGCCCTGTTTCCACACTGGATGGGATACTCTGCCTACATTTCAGTACTGTTAGTCAGGACTGAATGTGATGATGCAGGTAAAGTGTTGGGCACAGTGCCCAACCCACAATAGGAGCTCGCCAGTGGGAGCTAATATCTCCACGGAGCCTCACGCTAAAACCCTAAGTGGACAGGAGCCATCATCAACTCCAATTTATAGATGGGGAAACAGGCTCAGGGAGGTCAAGGCTCTTGTTCAAATTCACAGAGCCACTAGTTGGCGAGTCAAGCCTCAAACCTGGCTCCACTCTTACCTTAGGTCAGTTGCCATCTCCCAATAGGGGTTTGCACACCTCCCCCCCTTGCACCCCTTCCCTCCCTCCTTTCTCCCTCCCCTTCCCCACCCTCCAGTGAGCCTCGGCCACTGGAAACTTCCAGTATCCTAAACAACCCATAGGGCCTCCACAGGAACAGATCAGGCCCTCAGCCTTCTCTCCTCTCTGTGGCAGCATTAGCTTGGGCAGAACCTGGCATAGGATTGCGAAGTCAGGCTCCTTTCTACACCGGCCAGGGACTCAGAAGCCTGAGTTCAACTCTCGAGTCTGCTTCTGTCCAGGGCTTACTGAGTCTCCTTGGGCTTTTCTGGGCCTCAACCCCCTCACCTACCCAGGTCACCTTGAAGGTGTGTGTGTGTGTGTGTGTGTGTGTGTGCTTGTACGCGCGAGTATGCATGCAGCATCTGCTCATGAATAGGGCTTCCTTGAGGTCCCAGTAAGCAGTGACCTCAAGTAAGAGGGATCAGTGCTCTGGGAGAAGAAATAGGCATAGGGCAGGAAGCAGGGACCTTCCCCAGTGAGGAAGGCCACGCTGGATTATTTGGGTCTACACAAGCTTCCCTTAGCCCTAGAGGCTGCAGGAACCTCCGTTTCTTTCACCATTGCGCAAACCAAATGCTTTCTAATCTTCCTTGGGTGTTAAAGTACTGGCAGGCTGCAGCCAGGCCAGCCCAATGGCCTGAAACTAGATGTTTGGTGCCCTGGATCCTAACTCCAGCTTGCCCGGTAACTGGCTGTGTGATCCTCGGCAGGTCACTTTATCTTTTGGGGGTTCTCAGTCTCCCCTCATGTATTTTCATAGAATAATAATCTCTGTTCTCCCTACCTCAGACATATAGCATCCTAGAGGGTCAGAGCTGGCAGGCACCTGGAAAGTCCTTCAGTGCCATGAGCCCCTTCATTTTTACAGATGAAGAAAGTGGGACTCAGAAAAAAGAGAAAGTGGCTTGCTTAAAGGGACATAGCTAGAGGATATTAGCAAACGGGTA